CTGTGCTTGGAGAAAAATAAACTTAGTAATACAGAATATGTTATACAATAAGAAGAAATAAAGTAATATTTTATATTGAACGATACATAACGATAACTTTATAGTGTTATAACAATTCAAATAGGAAATGGAATTTCATCTCTTTTAAACCCTTACACTAATTTTTTACTTTAATAAAAAATTCAATTTAAACATTAAGATGTTACGAGGGAGCTGATAAAATAAAAATATCGTGAGAAATGAGTTAAATTTTCTAAATCTGTGAGCAAATAATTATTTAAAAAAAAATATGAAAAAATTAGAGAAAAATCACTTAAAATTGCAATAACTTTCGAACGAATCGGCATTTCGAAGAAAAACTCGTTTTAAGTTCATAAAAAAATAACCTTTTCAGTTAGCATGTACCGAGTTTCTAAATCTACGGGGACATAAAAGCTCGATAATTATTACCGAATCACTTTGGTAATGGTTTTGGTAAAATTAATAGTAAAATAACATTTTATAATATGTGTTAAAATTTGGTAAATGTGGTATAATTTGGTAATTTTATCATGATACTTCAGAGCATAGCATACAAACCATTTATTCGGTTAAACTTTTTATGTATTTTTTAACTATGTGTGCGGTAATGAGAACTATAATTTTGAAAACCAGAATTTTCGTTTAACCATAACCATATGAGCGGAAAACTTACTAAATAAATGGTTTAAATACCGTATGTTTCTGATTTATTAACCAGAATGCCATTTTTTGTTTTCGTCATTTGTTTTATTATCAGAAATGCCATTTCTATTCAGTACAGTAGTTTTATAAGAATTTTTTTTCATGTATTTATTAAAATATTTTTTTAGCATTTTAAAATGAAATAATATATATTATTTTTTTTCACATATTAGAATTAAATAATACTATTAAATTATTTTAACTTTATGATATTTTTAGAATAAAATAATTCTTTATTAGTTACTTTAGCTTTTTAGCATTATACACAAAAATTTTAATAAGCTAAGCCTAGTTAATTTTATTCTACAAAGCTCAATGAACCTTGTTGCGATGATTGAAACAAATAACGCTTCCTCGCATTTACTTAAAAATATTTCAACGCACCTCTTTATCTTGACGATCCTAAGGATGAAAAATTAGGAAAATGATCAACATTTCGGATAATTTTTCTTAAGATAATATCTTTGTTTACTTATGTCACGATCTCGATTGTTAATTTTATGCAAAGCGCACATGAATATTTATAGACAAATTGCAACTTAAAACACGTGATCTATCGTTATGCTGACAAGCAGAGACTAATTATAATTTAGAAACTCTAAATTTAACTACTAGGAATTGTTGAAGAGTCTTTTGACTTAAAATTTCAAAATGTAAGTACATTTTTATTGATGTATTTTAAAGCGATACGGGAATAAAAAATAGTAAAAGACTAACTTTTAAAATGAATTTTTGAAGTATTTTTAAGAATGCAAGCATTATTTCAAATTACGTGTTTGATTAAATAAACATTTTTAATTTTATTATTAGACAATTTTGAAAATAGTTATAAGAACTTTAAAAAATGTGTTTTTCGTTATTGACAAAGCTTTAAATTTTATACTTTAAACTTAATAGGTTTAACTTTATTTTAATTTTTCTTCAACACTTTATTATTATTAGCTTTTTTTTTAAATAAAAAATTCTATAAATAACATAAAAAAATTTTCGTACAAATTTTGAATTTCAAATCTCTGAATACAAGTCTAGGATATATTTTAAAATATGCAACTAACTTCTAAATTACTGTTTTTAAGTTGAAAAAAAATTAAATGTATCAAAATAATCATTGTGAAAACAAGTTCTCAAAGTTCACTTAACACTTTAGGCAAGAAACTAATGACTCTAAAAAACGAAACCAAGTTTTTACCTTAAGCTATAATTTAAGTATAAATATAATATTTTTTCTTTATTTGAAGGAAAATTAATGGCATCAGTTATTTAAATGATATAAAAATTTCAAAATTTTTAAAAGTTTTTTCCGGATTAAGTGATAATATGATCTTGTTGGGTATCAAAAAATAATTATAATAAATAATAATTTCCGAATTTTGAGAAATAATTTCAAAAACTTGTTAAAAAGAAAACAAAACAGAACAGACACTCATATTAAGATCCTCAATAGCCATATATAATATGATATCAGTAGTAAAAGAAGACTTAAAATTTTCGAATGAATATATATCATTTCTCGAATTTAACATCACAAAAATGTTTTCAAAATACCAGATGAAAGACAGCGAGATAGCGTTGTGGTTTAATTTCATAGATGTAAAAAGATAAAAGTTTAGTAATAAAAACTATTTCTATCCCGAAAGGCCTCTTATCGTACTAAGAAACAAATTTTGGTAAAATTACCGTACTGGGTAGAAGTAACATTTCTGGCAAAAAAAAAAAAAAAAAAGAACATCTGGTTAGTAAACGAAAATATATGGTATTATTTCGGTGATTTTTCTATTCATATAGTAACGGTTTACCAGAAATTCTGGTTTTCAAAATTATAGCTCTTATTACCCCACAATTTAGTAAAAAAATGCATAAATGAGAAGTAAATTTAACCGAATAAATGGTTTTTATGCCATGCTTTAAGCTATCATGATAAAATTAGCAAAGTTTACTACATTTACCAAATTTTAACGCATGTTACCAAACGTTATTTTACTATTAACTATATCAAAATCATTATCAAAGTGCTTTGGTAAAATATACCAGGGTTTTCAGTGTTCCCATAGAGCCAGAAACACTGTAAATTTTACCATATTCTGGTAGTTCTGGCCATACTTTTTTCTCAATTTAGCAGCGACATGAAAATGTCAGAGATACTAATATTTTGTATATATCTAGGCTAAAAATAAAATTATCCCTGTTCGACATCAATCTTTTTTATAAGCTGCATGAAAAATAATGAATTTTATTTCATAAGAAAAAACTAATCTATCGTCCCTCCTGCAAGGATTTCTAAAATCTTCTTTAAAAAAAGTCGATAAAAATTAAAAGAATTAAAAGATGGAGTTTTATAATATGGAGGAACTGAAACGCACTGATGAAAGGGTAGAAAACTAAATTTTTATTAATTATTATTAATTATTTTGCATTTGTGCTAGGTCATATACTTAATAATGCATAAAAGCAGGCATTTTATAATACAGAAGAACTAAAATGCACTGATGAAAGGGTAGGAAACTAAATTTTTATTAATTATAATTAATTATTTCGCATTTGTGCTGGGTCAGATACTTATCAAATTGATTATAAATCTTTTTTTATTTCAATCTTCAACCAGTTGCTGCGAAATGAAAGTTGTATACAAAATGAAAAAGAAGAAATATGAAAACGACTAAATTTGCTCTTGGGATATTAATCCATCGTCTCCATATTTCTGGGATACTAATTCAATTTTAGATTGTAGGTTGCTTTGTTTTAATCGATGTGTTATACATGCAAAATATTAAAATTACCAACTATATATGATGCTCTCAGGATATTAGCTGTTTATTACATATATATTTTTCAACTTATGATTATCTGCAATATTTAATTAATTCTAAATAAGTAAACTTTCGTTTAAATAAACTACAGGGCTTTTGCTAGTTTTGGAAATTCGAAGTATTACCGTTGCGTTTGAACAACTTCAAATCTCGAGTTTTATCTCTCCTATATATTTTGATAAAGAATAAATGGCATTTTCCTTAAACCTCCTCACTTTTATCTAAATAAAGGAAATATGAATATAAAAATAATTTTAATTCATAGCGTATAAGTCGAATGACTAATTACAATATAGCACTGACAGCTGTTTAGCTATGTAAGGTAAATAGGTCATTTTGTTTTAGTCTTGAGGTTGTTTGAGTTATTTATTATGTCTCCTTAGTACATGTATAAAATATTAAAAAAATAATAATAATAAGATAATCACCATATTGTTACACTATCGGCACATTAATCCCCAATCTACAGCCTTATGGCCGGGTCATTATTTATTATATACTGAAATGATCAACACTTCGTGGCACTCTTGGAATGTTTGGATGTCTCTGTAGAACTCTATAGATTGCTCTATATTTATAAGACTTAATAATATTCAGTTTGTAGGCTCTTTTAACCGTTTTTTTAGTCTAAATAGTAAGCATGCAAGATCTAAAAATATATATGTATTGAAATAAGCAATATTTTGTGACGCTCTTGAAAAATTAGTCATATTTTCATAGATATGTTTAACTTATAGAATAATATTCAGTTTGTAAGCTGTTTTATTTCAGACTTGCAGCTGTTTTCCCTGCTTTTTTCAGTCTAACGAACATGCATACAAAATTTAAAAATATATGTGTATTCAAATAACCACATTTTGTGATCCTCTAGGAATATAATTCGTCTCTCTATAGATTGCGCAATAGATGGATGACTTATAGATTAATATTCAGTTTGTAAGTTGTTTTGTTTCAGTCTTATAGCTGTTTTAACTGTTTTCTTAATCCAAAGAGAATGCATACAAAATTTTAAAATGCACTTTCATTTAAATAACCAATATTTTGGGAGGCTAACGGAATGTTAGTAATATTTAGCTTGTCAGCTGTTTTATTTTAGTTTACAGATTATATCAGAATAATTAAAAAAGTTAAGCTCATTAACATTATGCTACTCTCTGGGGATATAATTCGTCTCTCTATAGAACTCTATAGATTACACTATATTCATACGAGTAGCAGAGTGATATTCAGCTTGTAAGCTGCATAGTTTCAGCCTGGCAAATGTTTTAACCATTTTTTTTAATCTAAAAAGTACGCATACAAAATTTATAAATATATGTGTGTACAAATAAACAACATTTTGTGACGCACAAAGTTTTAAAAAAATCCTTAGCTCTTTGTGACACTCTTATAGTCTTATATAATTATCATAGTCGTGTCCAGTCTCCGGACTGTTAGTAACTATTAATTCATAATTAAATAAATGCTTACCTTTTGATAAAGGAATGGTCTTGTGAGTGCCATCCATCGCTCTGCTGCCATAACTATGGCAACGCATCCAGAAGAAAGTCCAAAAGTTCTCAACACTACCCTTAGAGCACAAAACCAACGACTGTCCACCAGCGGTTTACTCATATACAGTTGCATGTACATCAACATAAACGAACCCAGCAATGCCACCAAATCATTGCAAGCCAGGCATCGAACCATGAGCGTCTGTTTTCGATTACGTGCCGTTTCACCTTTATATAAAAGTACTAGAGCACAGACATTAGCACTGATTCCAAAACCATAGAAGAAAGTTATGAGCACTTGTCCGAGAATCGACACATGACGTGTTGACATGGATGTCACATTGCCAACAGTCACATTGACTAGCGTGTCGTTGAGTCCTAGTGAATCTATACTAAACTCAACCAGTTCTTCAGCGTCCATGATGTTCAAGGTTTCCGCAACGTCGGAAAAAGCTTGCGAGTTAAACATCTCTCAATCTCAATATGTTCTTTTAGAATAAAACATGACTAATTTATTCTCATATTTTCAGAGAAAGTTTAATCAAAAACACTGCGCATTGTTTAAATAAATAATTACCCTTACTTCTATATCTTGATTAAAAAAAATTAAAATAATTACTTCAATGCGAATAATTTTTAATATCTATTTTGATAAGAAACATTTTTAACTTTTTCTGTTATATAATTAATATTTACCTGAGTTTAAAATCCTCTTCTATAAAAAGAACTTTTACTTTATAAAGTTAACTTTTCATTCATGTTTTAGAATTATGATAAAAATGCATAAAAATTTTTAGCATGCATATAATACGGAATATCTTTTAATTAATTACCACCCTAAAATTTAATCATTTACAATCAAATTATCAATCACTATTCCTGCAAAAATAAAATCTGTTGGAATATTCCTCTACCCGATCGCTTATATCTATAAAATCATCAGGTGACGATAATTAATCTGACAGATCAAACTGTTCCAAGAAACTTTAATTGACCTTTTAAAATGACGAGTAATATCCTGCATTTAGTCGGGTCACAGCATAATTTTTTTCTAATTACATGAACAGGTTTTAGGTCCAATTAAACGAAGAAAATGCTAGAGTAAAAAGTGCGAACATTCTTAATTCGAATACAAACTTCCCTCCAGATAGAAAACGATTTGTGTCACATCTTGAACGACCAGCGAGCAACAAGTGAAGCATCTCAAAGGGGGCGCTGTTGTTCCCGGATTGAAGAAGATATCTATTGGAAGCTCAGGCTCAATCTCTCATTTTGTTTTTGTTTTTTTATTCTTCATTTTCATCTTAGTGTTCCTCGGCGGTGATTGGTGAACGTAGAGTTAATAAATAGTTTGGGACTTACTTCATTCATGTTCTCGTGCGTTTTGTTATCTTTTTTACGCGCTGCGTGGCTTTCGGGGAAGGAAGCATTTATGTTTCCTTTTAGAATTTCTGGCATGTAGTCTGTGTCTTTTGCTTTAGAAAATGCAATTTGTTACGCCCCTTATCACCGGGAAGATGGGGGTGAATCACGGGAGGTTGCAGTGACAATCAATTTTAGAGTATGGAACGTTTGACGAGGAAGAACATATAAGTGTGTTTGACTTGTTTACTGAAATATAGAATGATCTTAAAGATTATATCTAAAGACAAATTTAACCAGCAAAAAAATTTTTAAGAGTGTGCAAGTTTACTACTTTGTTTTCGATGGAATTCCATAAAATGAAAATAATCTGTTTCAAACATGAAAAATAACCAATGTTTTTATTTTTATTTTTATGGGTTGACCTAAATTAAAGTTTTAAACTCAAAATAACAACTTTAATAGGTAGCCTATTTTGCAAATTTTCAAAACACATTTATTTATTTAAAAAAAGACATTTTAAAATGTTTTTTTTTTTTAAAAAAAAAGCTTGAACTTCATTCGACTATTGGAAATAAAACTAACCAAGGTCTTAAATCTGCGATTGTTGACTTATTTTTAAATTTATTAATAATTATGATTGCTTATATCAGAGCTGTGGAGTCGATCATTAAAATGCTCAACTCCGAGCTATTCTGAGAGTTCGAATCCAACTTGACTTCAACTTTCGACTTCACTTCAAGTCAGATTTCACAACTCTAGTTAATATTGATCAAAATATATTCATACTTTTTTTCTTAATTTAAAATTCTACACTCAAGAATATTGAATCCATTCTTCCTCAATCTAGAAATTTTCAATTCAAAACTATTTGGATAATTCAATCTATTCAAAACATTTAAAAACCTGTTCTTAGCTTTGTTTTGGACTCAACTGTAGTTTCATTTTTTGAAAGAATTTTTTGATAGTTTATATCAGAGCTAGGAAGTCGATCATTGAAATGTTCGACTCCGAGCTATTCTGAGAGCTCGACTCCAACTTGACTTCAACTTTCGACTTCACTTCAAGTCAGATTTCACAACTCTAGTTAATATTGATCAAAATATATTCATACTTTTTTTCTTAATTTAAAATTCTGCACTCAAGAATATTTAATCCATTTTTCCCCAATCTAGAAATTTTCAATTCAAAACTATTTGGATAATTCAATCTATTCAAAACATTTAAAAACCTGTTCTTAGCTTTTTTCGGACTCAACTACAATTTCATTTTTGAAAGAATTTTTAAAACATTTAACAAGCATAAATACTAATTTCAAAGAAAATTCGGTTGATGAAGAGGAGTGTTTAACAGAAGAAAACTATCAAACCTATGATTAAAATTACAACTATGTAGGGGGATGGAAGATCATTGAATATCCACATTTTAGACATACTTTTATGTCCTTTAAGACGCAGTTAAAGAGTACGTATATGTACGTTTTATCGTATTTACCCAACGTACAATAAATCCTCACCCTCTGACAAGAAATTTGATAAATGTTTCAAATATTAAATTTCCGAAATTTAACCTGAATTTATTCAAACTTTCAGCAATTTGGAAAACAATTTTCGGATAATAAGATGAAGACAAATTGTTAAAGTTCGAATAAGAGAGTTTGGTGGATCTACTGATTTTGCAATCAACAATATTAGTGGTCTATTTCCTCAATGAAGAACCTCTTTATCTTTCAGAGCTATAGCTAGGAACAGCGGTTTAACTTCTCAATAAAGAGCCATTATCTGAAAATAAATCCTCAAATTGCTAAGACTTTGAATAAAAGTGAGTTTAAGAACATTTTCTCCACTGTAAATGAACTAAATTTCTCCAATCTGAAAGAATCTATTGCTGATATTAATAGCCTCGGTATTTATCAAATTTCCTGCCATTGCTTTAGTCTACATAGCGCAAGTTACACACTATATTTTTCGGATTTATTTACTTTTTAAAAAAAATAAGTAAATTCCTTATAAACACAAAAATATTCCATATTGCCGTTATCCTGACCATTATCATTTTTCTTTTTGAGATCTTACGTATTGAATAATAAACACAACTTTTAAAATACACTTTAAAAAATAAAAATAAAAAATCATTTCAAGACATATTCAAAATCTATTTTCAAAGCGTAGAATAAAAATGCAGGTCCCATTCATTTTGAAAATGGTCAAATTCATTTCTTTAAATGAAATTACAGATTATATTATAAATTTTAAAGTAAAACACATATTTATAATTCTTATTATAATTATTGTAATTATTATTTTGTGAATACGTAGAAATATGTTAAAAAGAATTTATCACAAAATTTATACATAATTGTACATACTCGTATATTTCGATTTTCACATATAGATATTTATATTTAAAACAAACTTTCTTATTTGATAATAAAAAAACCAAATAAAACTATTTATTTGTATTTGATTTTATATATTTGATTATTTATATTTGATTATTTATATTTGATCATTGTTAATTACATAAATTTCCTCATTTCTACTTTCAATATCACTGCATAAACATCAATAGTCTTTTGACTTTTAAAACACTTTTTATAAAAGATTTCTTGTTACCATTTTCAAGACATATCACATGCGTTCATATTTTATTCGTTTTAAAAATGTCTATTCTTAAGCGAATTTATGGCTCATTAAAAACAAATGTGCACAGTTATTTTTGTATAATTAATTTTTTTTACTTAAAAATATTCACAAAATCATTCATTTTACTGAATTAAATTTATTTCATTTTATCACATATTATTTTAAGAATTAATAGTTTGGAAATCATTGATGTAATTTTTGTTGCGCGTAGAATTTTTTAAACATATTTAAAAGAAAAAAAAAGTGCGAGACATTAAGAAATAATCAGCTCAAAAACCTAATTTAAACATTTAACTAATTAAAATCTATAAACAAAACAAAGGAAATAATACTTACAATGAAAACTACATTTCTACTGTGAAATTTTTTATGTAAGTCGGATTAAAATTGTAAGAGTTATCGGTCTATAATAATGGTATGAAAAATTCTGTTTCAAGAAAAGATGATTTCAAATTTATTTAAGCTTATATATTCTATGTAAGCGCCAATGCAAAAAGCGGGCTTATACTATACGCTAAGAAGTTTTGCCATACTTTATCATAAAAATTATTTTATTATAGTTGTAGTCATTTTTAAATAAATTATTTTTAAAATAATATACATAAAGAAACGTTTCAAATTGAGTTTAAAGAATAGTTTGATAAATACAGAAAACTTAGGAGCTATATATCTGGATATTTATTTTAGAAAACCTAAACAGCAATATAAAATAATGAGGTTAATCATTGGGGAAAGAAATTTTAAAAACAGATGTGGTAATTAAATCATTTGTGTAATATTAAAAATTATTTAAAATGTTTGTACTTGAATTTCACTATATCTATCTAGTAAATGGTATATTCACACTTCTAAATTATTCATAAGAAAGATTATGGCAAGAAAAAGAAAGAAGAAATCTTCTAAATATTTGTGCTTAGAACTTTTTAAGTAGGTGATTAAAAATAATTGTTGTTTTTCAAGTAGTGTGTCTTGCTGAGTCGTCAAGGTTGAAATCTTAGCATCCCTTTCAAACACCTACACCTACATAACAACAAGTGCTTGTGAAAAATAAATAAATTAACGTATTAATGCTTTATTCTGATGAAATTCTGATTTTTTTTTATGTTTTCAAAGAAGTGTAGCACTCTAAATTTCCAGAAGTCTCTGTATCTATTAGTATTAATCATGATTTTCTAAAAATTTCAGAAAATTTAAAGGTTTATTTTTATAATTATGTGCATACATTCATCGAAGTATGATTTTAATAAACATTAGTTTATGACTTTCAATACAATATTTTGATCAAACTTTCTTAAAGTTTTTTTAAATTTAATTAATTACACAGGCCTGCGATGAAAAAAATACAAGGGGTCTGATAGCTGATCTTAATGTATTTTTTGATGCTGAAATGGAAAATAATAATGAAAAATGTTCATCACGTCATGTTTTTTAGAAAAATTCAATTTTACTGGAATTTTTATGAACATTTACCATAAAAAAAAAATTTCGTTTTTGAATTTCTTCCCTTCTTGACTGACCAGCATTCTACTTTGGTCAAATCTACAAAAGTACCCCTCTATCACTACTTCCTGTCACTGTCCCTCTCTCTGTAAGAATCTCTCTCTACCAATATCGCCGCGAGAATCCCTATCTAGGTCTGCTGACCTCTCAGAAACACTAGCAAGCGTAATAGGGAGTCATTTTAAAGTTTGCTTCTTTCTGTGCGTATCGTGAAACATGGCTTTGAGTTCAAGACATTGTGAAAATTTCCCTGATGACTTTTGTTATACATGGGGCGAATATAGTGTTGTTAGAAATTGCATGAGGAGCACTACAGACTATGTAAGACAACTTTATCTCGCATATTTTGGCATGAAATTCGGAGATCAGGACAAATCTTGGGCACTTCACCAAGTTTGTGTGCAGTGTCTCAATGATCTACGCTTATGGCCTCAAGGAAAGAAGACTGCTTTACGATTTGGAATTCATATGACGTTGCTTTACGATTTGGAATTCCTATGACGTGGAGAGAGCCCCAAAACCACTTTGATGATTGTTATTTTTGTTCCTGTCATGTTCGTGGATATAACCAAAAAAAATCAAGGATTAATATCTAAACCTGGCTCTCGACCTGAGCAAAATAAAATATATCAACCACAGGTGGACCATTTGCTGTGATTTGAAAGTTATCTCCATGCTTCTTTGTCAACAAGGGGGATTTATAATGTTTCATTTGTGAGTGGGACAGCCGTGACAAGACTCAACATTGGGTAAAAAAAGAATGGCCGAGAAGACAAAATCTTGACCCAGGCACCAAGAACGTTATTCGAAACAGCTTAGTTGATCCGAAAAGAGTATTGTTACCTCCGCTACATATAAAATTAGGTGTAATGAAGCAGCCTGTCAAGGCTG